TTTCGACAACAGCAATATTCACATTCACTCATACTCTATATTTTTGTTACAATATTAAGTATTGTTTATTTAGAAGTTTGTTTAGTTAAAAAATGTTGTTTTAGTTGATTCTAAACTCCACACTTAAGTTCGGTAAAAATAATAAACACCTGACCTCTTTCTGAGCTCCAAACACATAAAAAGTCTTCCCTTCAAATTTCAATTTATAGACATCACACCTAGAAAGAGAAAAATAATTTAAGTGTAGGAAAAATAGATAGACCTACAGGTAAGAAAAGTAACTTGCATGCAAGTTTCCCTGATTCCCGAAGTCCAATAGGCTGTCAAATGACAAAGAGCCTCAACACAAGTCTTACAACCTGTAGCATAAAAGCATTTAATATTGTAATTTTCTTTGGAGCAGACAACATAAGCCCAGAGTATTTCTTTTACATCCCTATGCACCTTCAAAGAATTATCTGGCTGCTGGAAAATCAAAAGGAAATTGAAACTAGGCAGAAGCTTACATCCACATTCTATTTATTACCCAGTTTGTAATTCCTCTGATATCTTAAAATCTTGGAACATCTAATTTTATTAAGTTCAGGGAAAGATAATACTCTTATCTTTATCCTTACTTGTTTGTGGTTTCACATAACACATCTTAGTAACCGCCTACTTAAAGACAGAACACAACAGGAAGAAAAAGAAAATGTTTCACAGCACTTCTTACTGGGGGCTTGTGAGTTGCAAACCTATGTCAACACTTAACTTACCCAGCGTAGCATACATATGAAACAGCAGTGCACCATATAAAGGCAATACGATGCCTCTGCTTAAGTTGTAATGGAAATTTTGTTGTTACGACAGTTAAAATGGAGACACTGTAGTTTGTCACAAACTTCTCCAAAGAAACTGGATGTCAGATGGTTGAAATGGGAACGATTCTGGAGGCAAAGAAAATGGTATCCCTGAAACTTTTTAACAAGAGTTTTGCTTTAACACTAAACAACAATAACAAGAAAAGCATTCCTGTTGAGAAAGCTTTTCCATTGGAAAGAAAATCTCAGATACTAATTTGGATTTTCACTGTGTAGTGCAAGTGTCAGCTAGTATCAGTTGAAGCTACTAGCACTCCTAGGCCTCAGAAACAAAAGGAGCAGTATATGGTGTTCAGATAAATCTCATCAGAGATTTAACAGCCAGCATAACACTGAGACAGATAAATGGCTATTCCTCTATCACTATGTCATTTTGTCTCTGGTTTGCTTGCCAATGGACTAAATGAATACACCAAGATCTCTAAAAGGACACATCCTTAAAAAAATCATTAAAAACTAAGCATAGTGAAACTCATTTCCCAGAGTATAGTGGATACATGCTTGGCAAGTGCTGTTCTCTCCTCCCTGCACTGGAGACTGACAATACAGTTACACTGTTCTTCTGCCAGAGGCACAAACCACTGAAGCACTGTGACTAGGGTTACCTGAAATTAACACTAGGTAAATTACGGCACAAATTCAGCATTGCTGAGGGCACGGCCAGCTGCTGTTACACCACCTGCGGGAGCTGGTTCTACCTCTCCCTCCAACGTGGCTGAGGCTGAGGCTGCCCAATTAAGTCAAATGTTTTACAGGAGCAGAAAAAAAATCAAAACCAAACAAACCAGGGACAATTGCATAAGTGTCCACTTCTTAAAAGAAGACGCCAAAAAACAAAATTCAAAGGCTTTCTTACCTCCTCCTCTGCTAACCAAATCAGTTCTCTTATAGTTTTCGAATTGAGGTTAATTACATGAGGAAATACCATCATTTTCAAGAGTCAAATAAAGATACAGGTGGACTCTTGTAAACCCTTCCAGACATCTCTGCCAGTAAGTCTCACTGGCGATTTACAGCATAGTTGAAAAATCAACTTACGCAATTCTAGCATTTGTGCATTATGTTGACTAATGCACCCTGTGGAGTAATTTTCACTTGAGGAAGAACAAGACCAAATTATTATTATTATTATTATTATTAAAATTACTGTACTTCTCATCTAAGATCCTTTAAAACAGAAACATGATGGGGCAAGAGAAGGAATACTCACGTGGTTCACCTTAAAGACAAAAAGTGAGGTGAAGACAGTAGGAAGAAGGGAAGACGCAGGAGAAAAGACTCTTGCGTATTATTCTACTCTTCCTTCATGTGCTTACCATTTTAATAAATGAATTCTTTTATTCCCCTGGAAAACTACAAATCCAGCAGCTGTAAATCCTAAAAATGTAGTCGTCCCCATTGAGTCCTTGAAAAAGAAAAAAGAAATATAATTCTCCCCTCATTCAATTACATATTTCTTACTGATATATTACCTCTATTTTGTTCTCCTTTTCAAAACAGATTTTGCCTTCAAATTTTACACTTCTAACGAACAAAGACTGCTCTTGGCAATACAGCCCTCATTACTTCCAGGCATTTACCTGAGTAGCAGGATCTTATGCTTTGTTACTGTCTACCTGTAGCTGATGACAATGGAGAATCTTCAGGTGTACTTACCAATTTTGTTGAAAATGTACTTCTCTGTATGACCCATTCTTAACATGCTAACTACAAACGAGGGATTCATAACCTGCTTCAACACTGATATTTTTTCAGATTTCACAGTACATTGTTCCTCTGAGAGATGTTGTGTTGGAAGTACTGCTGACAGACAACAAGCAAGCACTCTTGACTAAAAACCAGAATATATGGTGATACTTGCCTTTCAAATAGGAAAGACCATTTTAAAAATTTTTAATTCCACAATAAAAGTTCTGACTTATAGTTTTTGAGCAATGATTCAAGTGAGTTTCGAGTTAACTGGATTTCTTGTCCACCCCAAGTTCCAGAATCACAGAAGTACAGAATGTTAGGGGTTGGAAGGGACCTCCGTCCCCCTGCCGAAGCAGGGTCACCTACAGCAGGCTGCACAGGACCTTGTCCAGGCGGGTCTTGAATATCTCCAGAGAAGGAGACTCCACAACCTCCCTGGGCAGCCTGTTCCAGTGCTCCGTCACCCTCAGAGGGAAGAAGTTCTTCCTCATGTTCAGACGGAACTTCCTAGCAAAGTATATGCGAAATTCGACGCAGCTTTAGGTTAGAGCTGAATGTTTAAGAGCACTCACCACCATAACAGCTAACTGGACAACACTGTAACTGATCCACCAAATGACATGGTATACAAGCCAAAGTAAAAGCAGCAGTTGAGACATGAAGCAAGTAACACTAAAAACACACACTGCAGGTTATGCAGATAAAACCAAGTAATTAAACATGCAGGCGTAAGGGATAGTCAGAATTGGTAACTAAAATCACCTTGTTACAGAGAACCACAAAACAGCAAAGTAGAGAAATAGGCAAATATATATGTGGTTCTTCCCTCTGTACATTTCTTTTCTGTTCTTCCTAAAATTTGCATATTTTGATGGTGTTTGAAAAACTAAATTGCCAAGGACTAACATTTTGTTACGTCTTCTGGACAGAATAACACTGAGTCTTGAAAATCCTGGCAAACAAAATATTTCACACCTGGAGTATTTAGAGAACCTTTTGCATTAAACGAAAAGAAATTATGAAGTATAATGCAAAGCTTTTGTCACAATATTCTACTACATTCTCCCATGATGTTCTGCTTCGTCTGGAGAGCCCTTTATTTTGATTGATGCAGAAATGTCAACCACTCAATGATCTTCCAAGGCTTAAATGTAATACGTAGTTCCAGGGCAAGTTCTGTTATAAATTACTTCCTATTTGTGCCTGGGTATAAAACAGAGCTAAATCAATTCAATTAATGGCTTTTTACTAAATGTTAGTAAAAAGAACTTTTTATTAAATGTTAGTAAAAAGAACTGTTACCTTACAAGGATGAGGATCAACACCATAAGTTTCCAAAGAATATGCTTTCAGGAGCAAGTTAAATTCAGCAACAGCTGGACTCTGACCTCTGAAATTACAAAAGAAACAATACTTTGACAGCAAAAAGAAAACAGGATAAAGAGACTTCTTGATTGTAAAGTTTAAATACCAAGAAAAGGAGGAAAGAATAGTTCTTACTGAAATACAAACTATTTCAACCATGTTCTG